TGAGCTTCCTAGTCACCCCTGTTTAACAGGGTTTTCTTTTTATCGTAATGCCAGGGAAGGTTGGCGAACGCAATCACTCGCTTTTCAAGAAATGTGGAATGCCTAAGCGACTTCTCTTGCGTAGCTTTCATTACGCAAACACAAAATTTCTGCGTCAACGAAAACGGCACACAGTGACACTCAGAACAGTGCTTGGACAAGTTTGTTAATTTTTTTCTAATGAATTATTGCGCTCAAGAAGCCTCACATTAAGGCACCAGCCTGTTTGCCTTATATATAGTACATGTATGGCCGCAGGACAAATCTATCTGGCACACAACAACAATTTTACATGGGACAAACTAGGTCACGTGTTTTATTTGGCACCATGTGCATAGAGAAACATACTTACACAAAGAGCGGACACTCCCGTAGGGCCCTGCGGCCCAGCTACTGTGCTGCTTTCAGCGCCACGAGTGGCTGCTCAGACTTGATAATGTCTTCAGCATGAATAAAATGTTTCTTTCTGATACTGGGATTTAAACCAGGAGACGCATGCTCCGAACGAAAGCAAGTGCCTTTACCACTATAGGCTACACGCCCATGCTTCCACAGAGGGAATACGTGTACAGTACATCTAAACTACATGAATGTGCACCCTTTGTGCAAAGAAAACAAATGCAGGAAGAACACTTTCTAGTCAGACTTTAGTGATTTTTGTGGTAAAGCATTAAATGTCCTCAGCGGGACACGCTGAAAAGCGGATTTTAAAAATTGCACAAATCAATAAAATTTCTTCTTTATAAAAGTTTGATACCAAACTTGAGTTTTTATTGTCTTCCTGAGGCGGGTATTACATGTCTTGATCATGGAATACAAGCGAGCATGGGTACGTTATCTAGTGGTTGATCAGGCCCTTTTTCGCTCGGCCGCGGAAAGGCTCGAGTGGCCACTCCTTATATATAGTATTTATGTCCTGTGCCTCTTCAGAATGCCTCTAGTTTCCTTAGAACTACGGCGTCTACCTTGCCCACTTTATTATGAGCAGAACACCAACAAAGAAAGCTTCCCTGATTAGTCGCGGAAAAGTTGCAAGCTTTACTTTATGCTGCAAGCTATAAATGAAGCGAAAGTATTACAATACGCTCTAAATGGGTAAGTACACGCGTTTACTAACTGTTTCATAACTTCTTTTTTTCTAAGAGTGTAGGCGAGCAATGGTTATACATCACAAGTGCGGGAGAATCCCTCGAAGGTCAACATTGACTACCCTAACTCTTTGATCTAGGTACCGCGAATGCGGACGGTACTCGCACCAGCGAACTCGTGCTCGATCCTACATGACGCCATAGTCACCCAGTCATCCCTAGCTGGCAGGCAGACTGAATGCGGCGCGCGGATACCATGTGTCATGGTCACGACTCCTTGAAAGTGGCTATGTGGACGTACTACATGTACGTACATGCATGCTGTAAGCAGGACGCAGCGACGACGCCCACGCGGCTGTTTGCCCAACTATTCGGACACCATTTCCCAAGCTCGGGGAAAAACAAAGCCCACGCACCAGTGCACGCGGATCTACCTCGAATATACAGCTAAGCACGGCCACAGGCCTTAAAAGCAGGGAAGTCATCTATTTGGGACAGCATGTAATGCATTTTGAGCCTGATAAAGCTTGACGAATAAACGGTAGGGGGGGGGGGGCATTAACATTCATCAACGTAGTCATGGATTGCAGAGGCCTTTTATTCTGTTTTTAAAAAATTTTCAATTGTTACATTTTTAAAAAAGCATAATTACAAGATAATTTACACCTTTTCTCAACCTAATCTAACCCATCACCAGCTAGGGTGTTACTCAAAGGCTGGTAATAAGCACTTACCAGCTCTTTGGCGACATTGTATACTTGACCATTCTGCCGAACTGAGACCGCAGTTAGTCGCTATGACAGACAGTTTCCTTCTCCCTGTCCTCTCGAATACAATCAACACATACATTAATGGCGAGAACTACTGTTTTTAGCGGTGATAAGTGGTGCATAAGGATACGTCAGACAACTTTTGTATCTTTTGTCGTAGATATACCATTGCCTTTCTCGCCGTGGTAACTTGGCGCCCATCGTGAAGCGCTGCTTAGCACGACGAAGGGGAATCGACTCCCGACTGCAATGGCAGAAACGGCTGCACACTTAGATGTAGGTGCGTTTTAAATAATCATAGGGGGTCAAAATTATTCAGTATAGACTATGAATATATACGACGTGCCACATGATCAAACCATAGTTGCGGTGCATAGACGATCGATAGATGGATGGATGTATCCGGCTGTGCCTTTTAGATGCATGCGCCGGCTCACACCACCTCACCATAAAGTTAAGTATCATCACTAGGTGTTGAAGGAATGAATTTCACTCGCGCCTTGATTGTAGCCACCAATCAGTTAGCCTCCTCTCTGTTATTTCTACCCGTTTAAAGTCTATTTTGCGTTCACTGTTCCTAAACCCCGACGCACTATATACATACCGTGTCTGTGCCTTCGTGTCTGGCTCGGTACGTCTTGGTCCGCAATACTCCCGTTCTGGCCTCGAACAGCAGAGAACTACCCCGAGAATTATCGTAGATCTTCTTTTTTTGCTATTTCCTACTTGAAAGTTTGATAGGGCTCCAGAGATGATTTCGTAAACACCACATGTCCCTCTCTGTTTCCTTCACCTTCTTCTTAACCGATGTTTCCTTTTGACTTGGTATTCCACTGTTGTCTAAATATTTGCTTGAAAGTTTTCATGTTCGCTTCCTCCATTTAGTATAAACATTTTTCATGTACAAGTAGCTGAAAACTTTCCTAGCCCAACGCTCCTCTCCTATTTTTCTCAATAGCTCCTCCAATTCTATTTCCCGGCACTCGAACGATGTCCATCCTATGTCACCCTGTACCCCCCGATTTGGGGTATTCCCGTGTGCTCCCAAAGCAAGTATATACCTATGCCACCTTGTTTAATTTCCAATCTTGCTTGAACCGGGCCTCTGATCTCATGCACAAGACCGCATATGCCGAACGTCAAACCCGGGACCATGACACCTTTGCAAACTCCTCTTCAGTGCCCTATTTTTCATTACGGCTGAATCCCTATTACCCTTAGTCATTACGTACCCTAAGAATTAGCACCGCCATCTTGTGTCGTGGGTCTGGGCTGATGCCATCGTAAAAGGAAACTCCAGTCTCTGCCCATGATTATTGGGTCCGCGGTGTGTGAAGTTCATGTGGTGCTGCAGTTGCCTTCGGTACAGCTATATCGCTTATTTCTGAGACATGGAGTGCATGCTAGAAGAACTGGTTAGAGCCCAATGGGGGGGGGGGGGGTATTATGGTGGCCGGTACGAAATGACCCTAAGTCCCATTGGCACATGCGGCCGGCACAAGTATTTAGGCTGCTTTATCTTCGAAATAGGCCCACATTTTCAGACTGCACATATATATCTCTGGAAATGGCGCACGAAAATGCAGGTTCAAACAGTCGTAGCAGAAAATTGTGCTGCTAGTTGGCAACAACAATTTGCACTGAAACAGAGTCAACAGGAAAAGTTCGAGTCATTTATGGCTAATCTTCTACCCAAACAATAATCATTCATCTTGTGCATCTTTGCTGCACGCCCGTTAGATTCAGGTCACGAAATGCGTGGCATAGCGTTTCCGACAAAGTAGTGACTGCATATCGGTGAATAAATTCATTTCTCTGGACTCTGTTGGCCTCATTTCGGGCCATTATATGGATGTTTTACCGTAACAATTGCCAATATTAACACATATCACTGACACAACAGCATGTAGAGCGCATGATTCAACTCCTATTCAGTACAGCAATTTAATGGGTGCATCGATTCAACTGGCATGTTAAGCAGCAACTGAGACGTGTAAAAGCGCAGTCAATATATCGATCATTAAATAACACAACATTAACGATGGAAAATAAAAGTAGAATTCGTAAACCAGATTAAGAAAAGAATTCGTCGATCCCCATTCTCAAAATTTTGAAAAGAGCTACATCGGAGCAGTGATGATTGTATTGGGAGTTTTAGAGTTGTTTTTTAGGAGGGAAAAAGCGGAAAAAAAAATAATTTGCGCGCACATTGACATGCTGTCGATGTGTCATACGCATATTCACTGATTACATTGAAAATACACTTGCGACGGGTTAAATATTGTGTTATAGCTATTCTAAGTATATATTTTGGCAACAATCAACGCAGGACTTATGATAACTGTCGGTTGGGGACAGTATAACTCACGAAAAGTGTAAATTTTGTTTACCGCTAGGTCGCCGAAGCCTCGGTGTCATCGTTTGCGGCAAGAGGAGTTTTCCCCACCTTGGCTTCAATCTGCGTGTGAGGTTGCCACAACAAATTGCTGGCTTTGGCGGCACGTGTCGTCATAGCAATTTAGCGACCAGTTCGTTGCAGAAGTCCTGCTGTTAACGTTGACGCGAAGATTGCGCTTCAAGTTGCCGCTTTTTTTTTCTTAATTTCATTTTGTTTTTCATCAGCGTCATTGTGACATATTTATTGCTTTGAACAAAGTTACCGCCTCCTGCTCCTCCTCCTATTTCTTGACACATACAACGCAAACTGCGTCATGTGTTAAGTATGCGATTCCCAGAATTTCACTTTTTTTTTGCCTGATAAGCTTAGGGCCACCAACTGTAAATGCAAATTTTATGTTGACTAATTCCTTAGTAGTTAATAGTGTGAGGAGACGAGCGATAGTGATGGGACCGAGCACAGACAAACACCCTCCCCCACCCCGCTTAACCACAGCGGCCTGTGACTAGAGGAAGATTCCCGCAAAGCGCGCGTTCTGTCGCGAGCAGGACGACAGCCCACAGCGGCTAGTTTTGGCGCCCGTATGCAGATGACGACGCGTGGCCACCGCCGAGCACGTGGCTTCGGAGTCCCCTCCTTCTCGCCATAGAGGTCCTCGCCATCGAAGCGCGCGGCGTGCAAAAGCCGACGGCAGCGCCATCGCCGATGCGCTCCCGCCCTCTCGACCGCATAAAAGCCAGCGCCGTGCCGCCCATGTGCCATCGTTCCCGGCGAGCTTCGTCCGTCTTCTCTGCAGCCCTTCCGGGCGCGCGCACCTTCAGTCTGCCGACGAGCATCGCTCAAGCCATCCTACAAGCGAGCATCCACCTCGCCCAAGACAGTGGTCTCGCAACCTCGGAGGCGCACCCAGGGGACGCCACAGCTAGTCTCACAGCAGAAGGGTGAGTGCGATACCCTGCACACCTAACTCGTAAAAATTCATCCGCGGCTTGCGATCCTCGCGCAGCATCCAGATCTGAATTAACAGCGGCTTGTTTACTGATTGGGCGCACCGGTCAAGCGGCAGCGCGTGGTGTACCGAAGTCGCTTGTCATATCGACGCCGGTTCCGGGGCAGCTTGACCCCTCCAGGAATTCGTCTTCGGCCGCCGTGACGCAGACAGCCAGTGTTTTCGTGGCTTATCGAAAGCCTCTAAGCGAGGATACCTTGTTCCATGCCGCTCACCCTCCGGCACGCACTTGACGCTTCCCGTTTGTCAGGAATTCCGGGATGATGGGCGGTCTGCAGCGGGGAGAGCCTGTGCGCGGCCTTGGCTCTCCGAGACCCCCCCTCACCGAGTGTCCCTTGCTTTCGGTTAGTTAATCGCCATAACGAAAGAACTGCGTCTTTCCATTGCGTCCCTTCCTCGGAGATAGGAGGGTGCGCAAGGGCGAGATATGCTCGCTTTTCATTTGCATGCTTTGAGGACAAGGCTACGTCAGCGCTGCGCGTGTGTCCGTCGCTTGATTCCTCTTGACCGGCACACGCGCGGGCGCCGAGTCACGACGGTCAGATGTCAGCACGGGGTGAAAGCCTTTGCGGTACGCATTCGGCCTCAGTGAAGGCGTCTCGCTACAAACTGTCTATGAGTGTGCCGCTTGCGCTCGGTTCACCTTCGACAGGCGGCTACGACACCTTCACTTATGATTTCTTCTGTACATAGGCAGTGTGTCAAGCACAGAAAGCTTTTATTTCAGGGCGCACTAAAACACGAGTACAAAGCAGGCGGGAACGCTCTGATCTCCTTGCTCTGCGATGTGCTCGTGCTTTTGAGCCCAACTGCTGCTTTGACGTTGGAATGCGACAAGCCTTTAACAAGAAGAGTGGCTCCTGCTGGAACGGTTCATTGACGAAACAACCCTTGAGAGTGTCGGGCAGGCACGTAGTGAACATCCTGTGCATTTTAGGGATCTGCGAACTACGTGCGCTTGGCTAGGGTTTTCTGGGGAAATTACTACCGGGAAATATGGCACTATTGTACCTTTGTATTCGAGAGCTACAGGCATGGTGGTTCATTTAGCATGGAATCGGTGATATGTACGTTCTACGCATTATGCAGTGATATATATTGAAAGTTCGATGTGCCATAATTTCTCTAGTAATTTTCGCAGGAAACTGCGCTCGTCCGACGGCTGCTCTTGCCACGTACGTACCTTATACTGTTTACGTGTTACGGAGGGTGTAACGAAACGATTGCACGATCAGCGTTCGGGACGTGAAAAACAAACAATTACTATTACCTAGTCATTGTCAGTTGAAGCGAACACTTGAGCTAAAGGTCGGATGCTGACTTCGATACGGGAACAAGCTCTGGCTATCTCAAGGAGTGGCAGGTATTAATGACACCGGAAATGAAGATGGGTGGTGCAGGTCAAGAACCGGCGTTTTCAGCATGGTATGACCGACACGGCATGACAGGTAGCTAGCGTTTGTATATGTTAATAATGTCAGGTTTTACGTCCCGAAACCACGATACGATTGAGACGCCGTATAGTGGAGGGCTCCGTAAATTTCAACCATCGGGTGTTCTTTGTCGTGCACTGACATCGCACAGTATAAATACACGGGCCTCTACCATTTACCCTCCATCTAATTGCGGCCGCCATGGCTAGGATCGAACCAGCGACCTCAGCTGCCGAGCACCTTAAACACTGCTCTACCGCAGCGGACGTTTGTATATTTTGAAAGGTGTTCAGCTTCACTGTTGCAAACGGCAAGCGAACGTGCGCTAATGGAGCTGTATAAGTCGTCAGCAGCAGCAGTTTCTACACTTAATTGCATACTTATATGAACGCACGATCTGTCAACCTGAATACAACGTTGCTCACATTTCATCTCGCATGGCAGTTAGGTCCCCCTGTTCTCTTCGGTGTCTCTCAAAGCGTACAAATGTCTCAACAAATCCGAGGCGACGTTGAATGCTGCGATGGCATGGCGAGCTTCTAAGGAGGGGGCGTCCTTTCGGCGTAGCTGCATCCGGTGGCGCAATCCTTTCGAGCGCGTCTCCGAAGAAAGAAAGGACGTTGTATTCCAATAACGACAGCGACGTCGGCGTCCCCATTCAGTCGCAGCCGAGAGCGTGACCTTGGAAGTGGAGAGCGGGGCATTGCACAACGTAACTTTCCAGGGAGGAGCTAACCTCTTCACCCGGAAACTGCCTGATCTCTGACGCGTTCGGGCGGTTGCCCCCGCAGCAATACAGAACAGAGCCGCGATTACTTTCTCTCGATTGTTGCTCCGTTATCGCCATTCCCGAACCGGGTTCACTTGCGGTTGCCGTCCATGTAAGTGCAGGCATTGGCATGCAGTCCACGCACCTCCGACTAAAAACGCACTTAAGGTTTATATTCCGTGAAAGCGGTGGCTCAGTGACGGCGCTTATGTTATGTTTGTTCTCTAGAGAACGAAGTTATAGTTTCTGTATTGGTGGCTGCATTTTGAGAATGGCACGGTACAAAAAAGTCGGTGCATACAGTACAAGTGGCGCAGTCTTGGGGTAATTAACACAGGGCCCTTGCCCCCACCCGGAATTTTTTTTTACGCCTTGGCCTGCAGTGGCAAAATTAACCATTTAAAGGAGTGCCCATTCCGCTCCAAAATCAAAGGTGCCCCTCCCCCCGAAAAAAAAAATTCTGCCTACGTCTCTGTGTAGAACACATTCTGGCGAATGTTAAGTTGCAACAGTCCGTAATGTTTACTCTGAAGAGAGTGAAGTGAAAGTGCACATGATCTATCCATAGCCACGAATTTGATGAAAGCTCCTTTGGTCAGGTCAAACTTACAAATTCAAAAAATGAGCAGTTTTTGACGTTTCGGAACCTGTGCTGGTTCCTTGTCCACAGTACAGCAGACGTAGCGGCGTTGTCCAGTTATATGTACGATAACGACGAATGACGTAAACAACAGCCGTATTTGTACGGCATATTTCCGTCTGTCCTGTTAACGGCATCTGCTGTCGCCTGTATCATCAGAGGTTCGAGTATTAGCCTGGTTGTGACGTTTTTCTTGGTAGCAGTCTGATGCACATGCTCCGCACTGTGCGTTGGACGCATGGCGATGGTTCTTATCATCGCATTTGTGCTGTTTCACTCACCGAGTGAAGTTTTCCGTTCACCAATGCAGCACATCTTGCCGATATCTTGAAAGTACTGCAGTTTCTGCTACGTTCGTGAAGCTACCTGGCTTTGCAACTAATATTTTTAAATGCCACTATTGTATTATCGGCACTGTAAGACGTGTGCTGCTTTGGTGATGCATGGTGCTTAGTAGATGCCAGTTACTAAGTGTATAGTAAACTAAAGGTCTCTGCCCTTGACGGCTCGCACGCACGGGCGCCGAGTCGCAATGGTCAGATTGTCAGCACGGGGTGAAAGCCATTTGGGCTGACGTATCGGTACGTAAGCGGCTTCCATGCAGGTGTCTCGGTACAAACTGCGCGGAGTGTGTTATGGCGAATTCCATTGAGAGAACAGGAGTAGAGGGACAGGGCAATGGGGAGTGGGAGACAGAGCACCGAGAGCAGTGTCATTCGATCTGCCACTGGAATGCGGCACGCTCCCGAAGAGCAGGTGCGAGGGCGATGAGTGGGGAGGCCATGTGATCGAAACATTCCAAGCCTTGGCATATTCCCTGTCGGGCAGCAGCAAATACGCCTGAAATTGGTCGGTCGCTTCAACATTAGCCTAATACATGATATATTTGTGTAACGACGCATTCGGCAGCTGCCATAGTCGCCACCCGTAAAAAACGGCGGAACAGTGGTACATTGTTCTAGAAGGTTGTAGCGGTGGTTTCGAACTACACATTGTTACTACCGTTGCCGTCGCGCTCGCTGGCTGAAGAAAAATTCGGAAACTGTGTCGTTTAAGGGCCAACTGACTCGTGGTACTCCGCCTACTCCACTTTTCAGGCGAGAGCACTGCCAACTGCTCCTGGCTGCTCTCGGCGCAGCAAAAGCACTCTCGCTTTACCGATGGATGACAGTGCTCCTGCACCACTGAAACACGCCAGCTCTGACGGGAGCACTTTCAGCATGCTTTTGAGTGCACCTGTTCTAGTGGAGTTCGCCATTAGTGTGCCGCTTGGGCTCTGTTCACCTTCGTGATTTTTTTAGATGCTTAGTACATGCCAGTTATTAACGTGTATCGTAAACAAAATGTTTTGCTGCAGCCTTGGTGGAGCGGAGGAATCTAAACCTCAAGCTTTACACAGCCAGACAGTTATAACAGAACAACATGGAACCACTGGCGTCGGCAGGGGGTTGCAAAAGCCACGCCGGCACTTGCCCGCAAACCAGGCAACACCACCTCTCCCTTTCTCCCCCCACCGTGATGCAGCACGGGTTTGCAGCCCCAACACAAAATCCTACCGACGCTTATACATGGAGTCGTCTCTGGACAGCTCCATCCCTCCTCCTATCACGTTAAAAATTAACCAATAACTAATGTTATCGTACCCTTTGTTCCAGTAAAAACTATTGTCGCTTAATTTTGCTTATTTGGGTCTTTGACCTGTAACACCTTCACATAGCGCAAGTACCAGAGGGTTTGTTGCACTTAAGAGGAAACAATATAAATTTGCGCCGACCCACTTTTTTCTATTCTTTCACGACGACAGACATGGAAAATTGGAAGACAATCGTGCAGTCTCGAAATTAGGTACAGCTTTTTAGATGCGAAACCTCTTGTGGTGAAACTCTATCCGGTGTGCGGCGTGTCCATTCTTGCAGCATATGCGCGCGCCCCTCTCCTCCTCCTCCTTTCCTGTGCTTCCCCCTCTCGCCTCGCAACGCCGACGCAGGCAGCGTCTGCTCGCTTCCCCCTACTCTCATCTAGGCTTCCCTCCCAAAGTCCTTTACACCTCCATTGCGCATGCGCATCTCCTTCCCCTCTCTCCTCCTACG